CGATGTGGGTTACAGTAATATCTTTTTTTCCTTACGGGAAAAGTACGCCCCATCGAGTTCCCATCGGCCCCGAGAGACCGACGGTATTACAAGTAATTGTCGCCCTGGGGAGGACGCAGATCGACCCTATATCCACCCCAACCCGATCTCGAAGCGAGATGGAACGAGGATGAGAGGGAGGGAATAAGGGGGAAGGAAGGCGAAGGAAAAATAGGTGGCAGAGAGGAAAGGAAGAAAAAAGGAGAGAGGAAAAAACACGACGCGGAAGAAAACACGGTGCGCGGAAATGGAAAAGGAGGAAAACGTATAAGGGAGGTAAGAACGTGGGAGAGAATAACACGGAATGTACGAGAAAAAGGAGAAAAAGCGGATTCGTGAAGGAGAAGGAGAGGAGAAGAAAAAAACGAAGAAAAAAGAGGTTGTGAAAGGTCTGAAAGCGGGAGAAGGAGAAGAGGCAGGACGTCGCTAGACTGCGACACCCTTCTACGTTTTCCAGCCCCATATCGTCATATACCCCTGAGTCGAGGGGAAAAAGTGGCCGAGGAACTTTCGCCTAACAAGTGGATGATTCACAAATCATTCCCGATTCGCGGGCCCCCTCCTCGACACAGATGAGAAACTTCGTTTTCAGTCTATATCCTTGCCCGGAACGACGAATAACTCGCATCTCGCTGCAGGCGACCAATCGAGAACCAACGGAGGAAGATGGAAGGGAATGACGCGGGAAGAAATAAACGCGAATCGAGAACCTAATCGAGGGTGCTATCGCCTCGGAGTTGCTTCCGCCTTCCGTGTTACCTCGCGATCTCTTTTTCCCTCCCAATGTCCTCGCCTCGTTCCCCATTTTTCACTGTCGCAGTCTTCACGTCTTGCCAGGGCAATCTCTTAAGATGACATCTTAAAAGTGAAAAATAGCGTTTCCTTCCTGTTCGTGCCGTCAACAACGAGGTCGTCGACGCGATTCCGTCGACATTTCGCAACTCGAATTAACCCGAAGAGGAATTATGCACATGAGGGCATTTCGTCGCGATATACGCGATCGATTGGTTTTCGTGGGGGAAACAGATCGATATAGATAAAAACCAGCCGATGGAGCGAAGAATTAAATGTCGTGACTCATAGATTCGCCGGTTCGACTGACTGGATTAATCAGAGCACATTGCACACACACGTTGATATCCGAAACGGGAGATCCTTCCGTCTGATCACATAGAATGCGTAAACCGCACGACATTCTGGTGAGTCAGAATCACGAAGGACGTGTAGCGGTTCCACGATAGAGGAAAAGTTTTTGCTTTGATGGACTGATAAAGCCGAATAATGCTACGCTTAATCGAGTTGCTGCTGAATGTACTATGAGGCGTCATAACGTTTACAAATGCATTTCCATGGTTTTCACCCATGCCTTTAACGTGCAACTTTAACAAGAAACTTCCGACATATTCTTAAAAGTACTTCGATATATATATATATATGTTATTTCTAAATTTTTCACTTTTTTCCAATATAAAATTTAAGGTAGTTCTATCGCTACAATATCAACTAAAAGTTTCACCTCCAATCGATAAGGAAATTCATCGTTTATACAATGTTATCGTAGCAACAATTTTAGATGTGTCTGTACAGTCTGAACCTCTTCACATAGAAACAGCTCATGTATGAATACACATCGCAATTTCTCTCCATGTTCCGTTTGGAAAAAAATTCATTTCTTTAAAAGTATATCTTTGAAACTAAACGATGGAAAAATTTATTTTTTTTTTAAATAATCCCACACTCATATTGTATACCCCATTGGTTTTTTTAATCAAAATCGTAAGATCCGTTCTATTGTTATATATTAAAATATGATGAAAATGCCATCCTTTCACGTGGTGTATAGAAAAAATGCTATTTTTAATTGTAAATAACTGTTAAACTGAACGGTGAATCGACTTCAAAATTTCGCAATTGATAGATATTAACTCCGTCTACAACATATTAAAATTTCTAAAAATTCATAAGAATTGTGAAAAACGATAGAACTACCTTAAAGAAAAATGTACTTTATTTTAAAAAATATTGCTAGAGACTAAAAAGAATAATATTTAAATATGCGATATACACGCACAAGAAAATTTTTTTCTCAAAATTACTTTCTCGAAGACCTCGCGAGACACTTTTTTGACATCGATTCTCGACAGGCGAGCAATTTAAAATTGAACATTCGCACACAAGAATCCTTTAGCGGATGCACTACCGTATAAAGTACACCGTATCAGCGAGTGAAATTAAGCGATCAATTTCTGCGCACATTCTCATCCCGTTTTGTTCTCTCATTCTTTTGTGCCGCAGCTACGCTCGTTTCTAGAAGCGAGACTCTTCCATCGTATCAAAAGCGAGCGAGAGATAAGGCGAAACGACGGGTCTTGGTGATCACGGAAATGGTGCGATTTTGCGCGGTTAACGAACCTATGGATAGGTCCACCAAGATAACGGGCGAGAGTGGAGGGACTGGAAAACACTCTCCGTGGAATAAGGCGGGTCGTTGTGTTATTCCCGCAACGACAATAAAGCGCCTATCCCGTAATGGTACCGGGAATACGTTGTACATCCCTACGAGCGTGTAGAAGAACGTCTTTTCAACGATCGCGACGTGGTCGTCGGGTCCAGGATTCGTGGCGCGGACATATCGGCCTTTTACGAACGCTCGTTCTGAAAATCTCGAGATTCAATGAAACCGCGATATACGAGACCTATCAACCTATATGGATGACAAGAAAGAACGTGTCGACGTCGTCGAGAGTAACTTTACAATCAATTAACCGGAAAGAAATCGATACGCACGCTTGATATGTACCCAGCAAACACAGTATATAAATGTTATACATACTTAAGCATGTTACATGTAACGTATATGTTACTTGTAATTTCTCACTTATAGATGTAACATTTTTAATATTACATATATTACATTGTAGTTATATCCCAAGATAGCACTGACTTATCAATACATCAATGTGCTATTTGGTATATAATTACAATATAACTACAATGTAATATATGTTATATTGAAATGTTACATCTATGAGTGGGAAATTACAACTAACATGGATGTAACGTACACGTTATATTACCTGTTATATTCCGTTTTATTATAGCAATGTAACAATTATATATCGGTGTTTGCTGGGAAAGCTCTTTTTTATGTAACTCTTGTATATTCCTAGATGTTAAGTTAATGATAATTCTATTAATTTATTTGATACAGAAAAATATCGACAGAATATTTAAAATAGTAGTATATATATATATATATATATATATATATATATATTACGTAAAATTATATTACACCTACACTGTATTATGAACGATTAACGTAAAATAGTTATTTATTTATATGCTAATTAAAATCCTATTTGTAATATTCAGTTGATTTTATGAATAAATATTTCAAATATACGAATATTTCCCGTTAGAGATTTCAATTTACATAATTATTTCTCTCATTATATGGGCAGTAAAATATTTGAATACTGCTGTATTTTTATGAATTAATCATATACTTTCATTCTATTTAATTCTCTCTTACGTCTTTTAGATCCATTTTTGCTCCGTGTTTCATTTAATTATTAGCTGTTTTTATAAGTTAATATTTTAAAACAAATGTTAGCTCTTTGTCATTTATTCGTTTTTTTTACTAATTTTCTTTTATATTTGAATATGAGAGAAATGATATTTGAAATAATCAATGCAAGTGTAAACTTCAGACATTACGTTAAATATGAAATTTTGATGAGTCTTTTATTATCTTAATTAATAATATGAATTTTTACATTTTTCATAAATACTTCCCTGTTTCCTCTATTTCACCGAAAGAATTTTCCAAACAACATTTTATATTTTAAAAGCGAAACATTATTTAAATGATCATTTTCAATAACCTACGTTTGAAATATATCGCTTTTCACACAACGATGAGTTCAAGAAAATATTCAAAATGCTTGAAAGTTCGAGGAGACTTGAAAAATAGATGATAATCGATAATAATAATAAGAATAAAATGCCCGCGCGAGAATGACACTTTACACCCCAAAATTTGCCAAAGCAAAGTCATCGAACTCCAATAGCATCTAACAATAATAAATAGATGAAAAGTCAATCGACAAAGGTTATTACGATCAATTAGATACGCGGCGGTAGTCGCACGCAGATTTCCTCTTGTCGTTCGACATCGAGGGAGAGCTTGGCGGACGACTTTTCGCGTTTTTCCGCGTCCTACATCTCGTCGCGAGGGCGCGTTCGGTTTCCTTGGTGACCGAAGGGAGCGCAAAACCGAACCGCCGGGGCTCGCTCCGTCTCTTTCACGCCCACGCCATCTATTTGTATTTCATATTGATAGAGTATTGATACAGCCCTGTGCCGTCGTGCACCTCGTCCCGACGAACCCCTCTTAACCCTCGGCTCTCGGAGCAACCCCCGGTAAACCACCGTGACGGGCCACCATCCCGCGGTAAAACGTAAACGAGAGAGAGAGAGAGGATACCCTCGTGTGTTACCGTTCCGGCCGGGTCACGTGTTTACTTTGTTCCGCATTGTTGCGTCTCGTTAATGGCCGGCGGAAACGTTTTGCTCTCCGGAGCACAGAGTCGGGAGAGGATCCGTTTTCAACGTTTCCCTCGGCGTGGCGCAAATATGCATCCGCGTGTCGTGATTTCTTTTGTAACTCAAGACGTAAGAGAGGTCTTGAAAAAGGCTCCGCCTGGATGACGGAAGATACCATTTCCGGGGAGAGAAGAAGACGCTCTCTTTTGTACGCTTTTGTAATAATATCGCACGACGTAGTCTGCATACATATGTATATCAGAAGAGCGTTTTCGGTTATTCCAGGAAAATATCGAACCAAGACGAAAATAAATAAACATTAAATTCGATGTTAAGACTGTAATTTGTAAGCTCGAACGTTCAAACTCCTCCTCTCGTAAATATACAATATATATGTATATATATGTACATACCGGGTGTTCTACGAGACTCTGCCATGAAAATTCTAGGTCCGCTATGTTCGCCGGCACAGGAACGACGAAATTCATCGCGTACGTGTTGACCACCCCTTCCCGCACGTAGTACAACTCAGCCTCGAGTCCTGAAAGCAGAATAGCGAGGAGTTTATCGATTGGGCGATCAATTATGAAAAAGCAGTACCGTGCCGTCGCCGGCAAAGTTTCCCTTCGCCAGCCCCCGATGAATCGACCGATCGCAGACTACGGCACGTGCAGTCGCCCTTCGTTATAAGTTGAGGACATTGACCACAGTCGCGTCTTCTTTGCATCAAGTAGCGCAGTTGTACGGAATACGTTTCCGTATGGAAACTTTCAGAGACCGGAATAATTTCGCCATTCGGTGCAATAGCACGCGAATCGCGCGCCTCGGACTCATCGTCGTACTTTTAGTACTGTATACTAATGCGATTCCTTATTCTCACATATTTTTACTTTTATTAATGAACTAACGCACTGCATTTAATTTATTTTTTTTTTATTATTATTATTATTATTAAAATAATAAATTAGTAAAAATTATATTTTTATTATTATTAATCATAACTCTCATAACTCGTTTAAGAGTCTTGACGTGTTGTCAAACCGACACTATGTTCGTTCTTGACATCTTAAAATTATAATTTTATTTTTATTAAGAGTTTTAACAAGGCTCTGTAATATAAATATAAATATAAATTTAAAGTGTCAAACAGGCAATAAGAGCCAAATTGCGGATGACGGTGTGTTATCCCAACGCGAAACTAAATTTTTTCGTTAGAATTAAAAACCTGTGCACAAGAGATTATTCCAATTTTAAATCTTGACCAAGTAAAATTTGGTGCCTTGTGCACAGTTTTTAATTCTAACGAAAAAATTTAGTTTCGTTGGGATAACGCACTGTCATCCGCGATTTGGCTCTTATTGCCTGTTTGACACTTTAAATTTATATTTATTTTTATTTTTATTTTCACAAATTACTTGATAAGGACTCGAAAAAGGGTTAAAACGTTGTGATTTAATAAATAATATTTGCGGTCGAGAGAAGAGTCTTACCTTTTTTTTTAAATTCTGTCTGGCGATTCTCAAATATCTACGTTTTTATTATTATTATTATTATTATTACACTATATATTTGTAATTACAAAAATTGAACAATTGGCTCAAAATCAATGATTAAATAAAAATATTAAATGGCAATTTGAGCCTGTCGCAGATGGTCGAGCGCAAATTGAATATCTCTTAATACATATACAAAAAATAAAATTCATCTTTGAGTCATCTTCAGCGCGAAAGAAATAATTCGTTACTTAAAAAATTATAAAATGAATAAGAAGTAATGAGAACTACGAAACGTTCGCGGGTATTGAATTTTTGCATACATTATAGCTAATATATATTTTATTTTTTGTAACCGAACTTTAGTTAATTTCTTCCTTTCACGATTTCATTCAATTTGCGCTCGACCATCTGCGACAGGCTCGAATTGCCACTGAATTTTTATTTAATATATTTACAGCTTGTAGAAAAAAGGTTAAATATTTGTGGAAAAATAATGAAATATTTGTTGAAAATTAAGAGAAAAAGAGGAAGCGGAAAATGCCAGTCGCAAGCGAATGTCAAGACGCGAGATATCGACGTGGCAGGTGAGTGAGATCTAATGCGACGATTATTGTCGGCGGATATATACCTATATATATTTTTTCTACACGGCGCGGAATCGTCTCTCGACGATGTCTAGCAAGAAATAACCACGAGGATTCTAGGAACGGATTTATAATACGGATCCCCGTCGATGCCAGATATATCCACCCATCTCTTTCTCCGTTCTCCGTTCTTCGCAGCCTCTTTTTCAGCGCGGATCATGATCTGAAAATTCCTCCTGGGCGCTCGCACGTACAGTCGCGTCTCTCTCGGCTTTCCCATTCTCGTCCTCCTTCTTGCTCGAAAAATCTTCTACGTCGAATAAATACACAGGGAATCTGAATTTTCCCGGGCGATCGGATGCGTCATCTGTCTGCCTTCACGTATGACTACGCAATTCGATATCACGCTTGCGAACAAGCTCTATCAGACGTATCTTACATACGTCATATTCGACGTCATATGCGAACCGTGTGTGTCGCGTGGTCGCGATAAGATTCCTTTAAAGAAGCGAGAGATATTCAGATCCGGAGTGCAGCACAATCTCGGTAGAGGAGAGAAGCGCATGAAATGTAGTACAAGAGAGAAAATGGAAAGAGAAGGGGATAGGAGGAATGGGAAAAGAAGGAAAGGATGTACTATAAATCTCTATATCGTAGAGAGTACGTTGCGAGCGAGCGGAAACAGCGAGCGCGTGACTTGGTAGAAATTAATAGTGTTAAAAACCGAAAAGTTCTCTGGCCACTCGTAAATCGTGTTATTCGTTACTCTCAACATATTTTACAGATTTACGCGTGCGCGTTTTAGTTCGCAGTTGTAACGAGCAAATGGCACTATTTCGATGACACTCTTTTATTTCTCCGTATTTGTCAATTTCAATTATTACGCAACATGTTTTGTCGAGGAAAATATTTTTATTATTCCTATAAGCGCTGCTATTTCATACATCTTTACATAACAGATTGTATATATCGAAGTCGAGAAAGTTCTGACTGCAGCGCAACAAATGGGAAATATTGTCTGACTCTACGGTGAATTCTACTACTGCGCTTTTGTGTTGTCGGTTCTTTGATAGTCAGAGGTCTCTATTAATTCCTTATTTGCAATTGCATTCGTATTCATTTCTAGAAATATATTAAATATTTTACATTTAAATATTTTAATGCAGAGAACCGTGAAAAAATATATAAAAATATAATACTATTATTATTTTAACGATATTCTGAAAATTGTGAAAAATAGAAATATTTATGTCAAAAATCTACGATGCTTTTTATCATTTATTCACGTACGTATACAAATTTCTGTTTATCTCTCGGCTGTATAATAAATTAATAATTAAATTGAAAAGTTCAAAAATCGTAATGGATTGTACATAAAATCTGTATTTCTGCGAGCGAAGCGTCGAAGCGAGACGCGAACGCTTGTGATACGGTTTAGCGAGAGCTTAGCGTTTCGTGAATATATATATACGTATATACATTGAAATGCTAGTAGTTGAAGTTTAAGGCGGCATCGCGCGAGTGGGGGAGTCGAGAGTAAGCGTAGTAAGAAGATTAAGTAACTTTCTACTCCGTGCCCCGGGTCTTACGGATAGAAGACTAACACTCGGCAGAGAAACTGATAATGACAGTCCGCCGTGTATTAAGCGAAGCATCCGCGAAATCGAATTAATCCCACTGTACTCCATTTTATTATCAGGCGTTAATCCCGACTAAAGTGGAGAATCGTGTCTGACTATAAGTAAACGCGTTACCACTCGCACTTCGAAATGAAATTCATTGAAAATAACGCCGCCTAGTAATATTATGTGTTTTCGTGGGTGATAATATTTTCCGTTGCATACTTTTTTTTTTTAACATATATTTTATAATCCTAGTCATTTTTATAACTATTTATAAGCTGCGTGAGATAATAAAATTGCTCTTTGTTTACGTAATTAAATTATGCGTAGTAAAAATAAGAGCGAGTCAAATTTTTATATATTAAACTAACGCGTGAGTCTCATTCGAATAGAAAATAATTCCATTGCATAAAAATGAAATTTTGAGGCGAGTTTCCTACTCGAACGAACATGAAAATTTACACCCAAGCCAATCGTAAAAACAAACTAGGAAGAAACTCTTCACTGTAAACGTCAGCGAGCAATTAGCTTTCGGTTCCGGCCAATTAAATCGCTCGCTCGCGAATGACTGGACGCAAAACAAACAACCGGAAAATCGCGAATCTTTATTGCCTATCCACCGCGTCGCGAAATAACCGAGATGCAAAGTCTGGGATATTTATACGTCAGTTTATCAGTCGCAACTATCCCGTGGGAATGCCGCACACGTAAAACGGAAACGGCTTCGAATATGGCCGAAGAAGCGAAAAAGGAGAGAATGTATCTCTCTCCCTCTTTCCCTCGTATATAGAGAAGGTTCTGAAACACGAAACTCCAACGCCGCGTGTTGGGAAGCCAGGGGTGGAAAATATTTCAAGAAGATAAATCTTAGCCGATCCCACGAGGAATGGACACGCGCAAGCAACTAACTCGAGGTGGATTAAGTTCCGCGATATCGCCCGCGGGCTTTCGAGTACAGGACAACAAATGGACATAATCAGGTTGCACCGCGCGCAATGGCAGACCGCTGCATTATGTTGTCGAGATTACGCGGATACCGGATAGACGACTCTCGGATCGTTCCGTAACTTTCATTTCGCGAAATCACTCGGGATCTTCGTTTCGGCATGACGAAAAGTTCCAGACTCTTCGCGAGCAAACGTGTAATTATACCACATCCCGGCATATGGTTTCACGCCGGTTTCTCGCAGCCGTATAAAATAACCTGGCGGAATATCCAATTATAATCACAATGGAGTCAAATATCTTGGAAACTAAATTAGATCCGGTTTTTTTTTTTATTTTAACTTATGGTTTCGGGAGAAGAGTGATTTAAATCAAAGTAATTTCTGTTGGAGAAAGAAGACGACCAAAGTATGGATGTCAAGCTTATCTTTTTTTGTAACTGGAATTACATGATTTTTTTCACGGATATGATTTTCCTATACTCTGCATGGATATACAATTGAGATCAAATCGTAAAGTTAGTAGTCTTTCAACTTATTTCGACATTTTATGACATAAAATAGAAAATCATATTATAAAATAATTTAAGAAAAATCTAATTTTTAGTTTAAAATATATTTGACTCTGTTAATTATAATTGATCATTTTATATATAAGTAGCAACTTTATTATATAAATGCGTGTTTGAAAGAAATGCTACATGATGTGTATTCTTTCTTTCGATAAATAAGCATTTTCTTAAAGATTTCGACAAATTTATATTTTTATTTTGATATCGAAACAAACATTCTTCATACTTTCTAAATTTTTAAGAAGGAAGAATTTAGGAAGAATGAAAAGTTTTATGTATATTAATCATTTAAAAGTTTGTTACCAAATAAAATATTACTTATC